TTATATTATTATAGTTATTACAATCTATAATTTCATGGTTATACTTATATTATTATCCTTACGTTGTCTTGAGTTATTATAATTATATAATTTAGGATCAGTCTATAAAATATGTGAAATTTTATAAGAATATCAAAGGCTATTTATTAATTATTTATTTATTAATTATTTAGTTATTTTTAACAACTTTTTCAGCTAATTTCAATAGATGTATAGAGTAACTTATTCGAACTTGCATGTCTAATGCATTATCAGTAGCATTATCTTGCTTCTGCATTATTATCCTACTTCTTTCAATCATGACTTATTCCTCTCTCTCTCTCTCTCTTCCTCTCTCTCTCTCTCTTTATTTAAATATAAAGTTGACTTTGTGCCTTGCTTCAATAAGTCATATTACACGCAGAGCTATGCTTAAGCAATCCAATTGCAAAGTAGAAGAAGCTGTGCTTGTAATTATTAGACCTGAGAGTTCGTTGGGGCTGCCAGAAGCTAACGGTGTCAGTTCTTGCAACGGCAGCAACAGCAGCTGCTGCAGCAATTTTTACGACGTCATTAACCCAGCAAGTAGCTTCCGTTGCTGCCACAAGCCAACGAGCCACGAGCCACGCGCCACGAGCCAAACGAGGTGGCGTCAGAGCTTGGGTAAACGGGTTAGCCAGACACACTGAGTTGCACATTCCGGCAGCAGTTGCACTCGCAGCAGCAGCAGCAGCAGAGGCAGGGGCAGAGGCAGAGCCAGAGGCAGAGGCAGCTATGCGCCTGCAAATATGCAATGCAAAATAGCTGCTGGCAAATTGTTTTGGGGCCAGAGAGACATTTTGCACAGCTCGTAATGCACTAGCCCTGCTAACAAGGGTGGGAGGAGGAGTGGCTGTGGGGGGTGACGGTGGAGCAGCTGAGCACCTGCACAGCTACGGCCAAACTCTGTTTACCTAGCTGACAAAATTTAACAAAGTTTAATGCAGAAACATTTCGAGTTTGACCAGCTGTTGACCTTGAGCGCGAAATTGTTGTAATTAAATTCCCATCGATGCGCATAATTTAGCGAAATTCGAGAGAATTCGTAGGTTTTTTATGGCCCAGTTAGTAGGAAAATCATCTTTGCTTGTTTATAGGCAAAAACTTTTACAACATTGCAAACATAAAACTGGGCTAATGAGCCGCTAACCAGCAGGAGCAGCAGCAGAGGCAGCAGCCGCCTGGCAAATAATACTCTAAAGGGTTAACACTAACTACAGCAACAACAACAACAACAACAGCAGCAGTTGCTGCGCCATAACAATTATAAAATGAAAATGCCGCAGAGCCATGAAAATCAACGACTTAGTCGCACTTGGCTGCCAGGCAAAAAGGCTGTTAAATTTAATAACACAATCGCAAATTGGCTGAGGGGTCTTAAATTTATGAAATTTAAATTGAACCGAGCCAGAGGAAAAGCTCAAATCAAAGAAACCACCCGCTGCGTCTGGCTAGTGGGGGGGGTGGGTGGCAGGGTTCTCGGCAGACAGCAGCTGTGCAAGCGCTTTTCCTTTACTCCTCCTCCTCCTCCCTCAGTCGGTCTCGCCCCCCTCAGCCACCCAGCATTCTCTGGGGATAAATTAGTGGTTTTGCTCTCTCCTAATATAGTCTTTGGCAAATGCTTCGGCATCGTCTTGCGACATTTGTCACCCTCAGCCGCCTCACTGATTTAATATTTATTTTATTAATAGAAAATTAACATAAAAAAATTGCCGAAATATTTTGACACTTGGCAAGTGCCAAGTGGCTCGATTGTGTGAGCCCGCCCCCGTTCGCCCGGCCAAGGGGTGGCTTCTTATTATTTTGACACTTGCCAAACAATTGGCATGCGAAGTGAAAGCCCAGCTGCCTTAAAGCTGCTGCAGCAACAACAACAAGAACAACAACAACAAGAACAACAGCAACGGCAACGGCAACAACAACAGCAACGACAACAACGACAGAAGGTGCCAAGGCAGGCAAAATTTTATTATGGAATTTCGTAAATTAAATATTTACACGACAGCTGTGCGAAGATCTTGCGAATGCCTTGATTCAATATTGAGCCTCGAAAATAATTGAATTTAATAGCTCGCTGGGTCAAGGCTTTAAACTCATGCTGCTGCTGCTGCTGCTGCTCCTGTTACTCCTGCTACTCCTGCTGCTGCTGCCAGCGTGTATTTCGTTGACTGAACTACGGAAATTGGCTTTAAAACATAATGAGCCCAGGATTGATAACTCAATAAGCATAAATAATATGGGTTAATGCAGAGAGCATGATATTCCCTTTTATAATATATATAAAAGAAGCTGAAAGATATTTGCAGCGAACATATTACAAATTTACTCCTTTCTCTTAGACTACGAGCTCAGTTGAGTTGTCCGTCTATCCGTCTTCCCATCCGCCTGTTCGTATGAACGTCGAGATCTCAGAAGATATTGTATAATAGCTAAAGAAAGTTTGAAATGTGTATTTAATATGCAGAGAGAGCTTACCATATTTTTTCGATAACTCATACTGTTTCCTGCTTATCGACAATTATCGATATATTGATTTCACTTTTTAAGCTTAGATTGTTTACTATTAGACCTAGAGACTTCAGATTCACTGTGAATATACTTTTGACGAATCAAAAGATTTTGTAATTTACAGATTTTAATAATATAAATTAATATATGTATATGGATGTCTTAAATCGTTTATCTGACATCGATGCAGAATAGACAGCAGGCTCAAGGGAGGAGTCTCAACCAAAGACAGAGAGAAAGAGAGAGAGAGACTCGAATTGTAGGTGATTTATCAGGTTGCAGTCATATATTTAATAGATCAAAATATAAATGTAGTATAATATACCATATTATCGTTATGCTTTCTCCGCCTATTCCACTCTCTCGACTCTTGTTCTTCTCCCAACTATATTTCTCCACAGACTTACAGGTTACAGAGCTAAGCCCTAGCATATAATATTCCTTTCAAACTGTTGCGAATGTAATTAGCAGGCATTACAATTACGCATCCAACCAAAGTCAACAGCTTTGCGAGGGACAGCGACAAGCGCGCAGAAAATTGCTCATTTAAAAATAAAAATACTAAAAAAAAAGAGAGAGAAAAGCGAGAAAAGGAGAAGAGGAGACGAAAGAAAAGAAAAGCAGATAAACAAAATGAGAGCGAAGCAAAGGAGAAGCGGGAGCAGGAGCAAAGCAGGTGAGCGGAATGTGGTTGGGCCAACGAAAGGAGCAGCGAGCGAGAAAGCGAGCGCTGAACGCCGTGTCACTAATTCAGGTAATTTGTCACTTTATTTACATTTGAAATTAATGTTGTTGCTGTTGTTGTTGCTGTTGTTGCTGTTGTCTGTGGAGGACAGCAAGAAACCGAGAAAACCAATTTCCATTTTCATTTTGTGGGCAACGCAGCGCACAGAAGACAAAACAAATGAGTGACTGACGTGCGGGACGAAACCGTCGAGCGTGAGGAGGGGCAACCCTTTATCTTATGCCACACCACCCCCCATTGCCCACACCCGGCGAGGGACACGCGACAAATGGACAGACGGACCCAAGAAATGCGATTAACATTTGAGCACGGGGCAAAAAGGCAGCGAGGCAGCGAGGCGACGCCTTTTGTGGCGGCCCGCACGTAGGCAACTGCCTCGCTGCCTCGCTGGTTGACTGGTCGTTCGACACGGCGTATGCTTAATTTGAATGAAGTGGCAACGTTGTTAATAGCCCTTGCCACGCTCGAAAAGCTCCTAACCTAAAGCAGCTGACGCCACACGCCTCGGCGCTGCAGCAACCCTTTCACCTGCACAGGTGCTCAGCTCTTTTAATGATGCTGTTTACTTTGCATTTGATGTGACAGCCTTTCAAAGACAGCCACACCGACTGGGCGAGGGAGGGACAGCGACAGAGAGAGAGAGAGAGAGAGGGAGAGAGTGAAAAGAATTAGAATGTAGACCCGAGCAAATGTTGGCACAGCAACAATATTTGCCAAAAAGAAATTGGCTGAAAAAAATGTTGCCTACATAAGTGGAAATGAAATAGAAGAGTTGAGCTGAGCAAGTGCTCGACTAGCAGATACCCTGTAAGTGCCAGAAAATGTTGGCAATATTTGCCAACACTAAATTAGCTAAAAAAAATGTTAAATAAATAATAATAATAATTAAATAAATAAAAACTAGTATTAAATATACTCATACTCATGTTATATTTATATCTAATATATATACATTTAATGTACAGTAATATTTAGATGTAATAGGTGGTAATATGTCTAAACACAAAATAAAAGTCGAATTATTTTTATTTTTATGAACTATTACGAAATATTATATGAACTAATATTTTGAATTTTTTAGGATATACAAGATATATTAGGTACTTACTCTAGTTATAGATAGTGAAACTCATGGAATGAAAGTGAAGGACTTGATTAGATTGCAATCAATATAATATTTTAATACACTTCAATTTTACTTACTGTCTGTAGCTTTCTCTGTTAAACCTCTATTTGCATTATGGTATATTATGAATCGATATGCTAAAGCTGGAATTCAATAGAAAATTCATTATTATTATATGATAAATAATATCGAAAAGAGTTTGTTAAATTATTTTAAGCTAATTTCAAGTATTATTTTTACCAATATTAAGAACGTGTTATACTTAACATATTATATAATATTTTTACCAATATTAGA